TTATAGTCACATTGCCTTTAGACTCTAGGAACAAAATTATATATAGGTATGTGTTATTTCTCATATTGATTATGCACAAAGTGATGACCACACATGTCTCCTTAAGTTAATAGCAAGATATTATAAATCGGTAAGTAAATATTTAGTATGTTACTACAATATCTCTGGCACTTGTCAGATGAGTTAAAAAATGAAAAACCAGCATTAAAAGTTGGCAGGTATCTATGGAAAGTCTACTGTTCAATGATATTTCTTTTTTTAAAGCAGGACATGTGCATTAATGACATTATGGAGGTAATTTATATGTAAAGACTCTGCATAAAAGAGTCATTCAGTTCAATACAATTTGTGCTATAAATGGGAAGCTCAGAGTTCAAGAGTAAGAAATATCTCAGAAAGAGTAACATCTAAAAGCTCAAATCTTAGTAGGATATAGCTAGATTCTAGAAAAATGTGGAATGGAACTCAAAATCTTTACTTTGAATAAAGTCTAAAAGTTTGAAATCAAGCAAAAAAGTATTAAAACAACACCAAAAGAGTGAAAAAAAATTGGCAGGTAGCGCAGCTGAGCTTGACTTTCAGTGAATATGTAGATTTGCCCTTTTTTAGTATTGCATACATGGAGTTTTATCTTGGTCAGCTTCTCATGATTCCTGTCAAACTCACTGCTCCTCAGGAAGCATTTGGAATGAAGGCCCTGGGACTTTGTGAATCAACTTCAAAGTAATGGCTAATAAACTTGGAGCTCCATGTATGTCAGAGGTCTTAAAGATTCCTTATCAGGTTTCTACAGGCCATTTTTCATAGCAGACTTCTCTCATGGGCAGAATTGTTCTGCCTTTAACTCTTGAATTTGTTTTTTAATAGAAAAAAAAATCCAGTTTTGTGCCCAGAGGCTACAATGAAGTAGAATGCTCGTAACTAAGCAGGCTCTTGATATCTTTATAAATTAGAACACATTTGTGGGAAACCTAGTGTGAATTTAATCAAAGTGTTTTTGTGTTGCCAAGTAAATCAGAGAAAAATGATCATTACATACTCAAAAGTTGGAAATAATAATCATAAATTAAATCTACCATGCTAAATGAAGACAAACAGATGGAGAGACACAGAGCAAGGATGTTTGAAAATGACACTCTTAAGTCCTTTGTACTGACTGGAAATAGTGTTTCTGGGACAATCTTTGGGATTTATGTGAGATTTCCAAAGAGTGCCCCTTGGACAATTATTTTAGAAATTGCTTTTCTTGGAATATGTTTGCTCTTTTTCACAGCTTGGCCTAAAGCACGAAGTGAGGGTTTACAAGTTAGACTTAGAAACTCAGTCTGGAGACCATTGTTTCCCTGGTTCTTACCCCCAGCTTCTTAGGCATTAGACCCAAGAATCATTTTCATCATCATCATCCTCAGCCTCTCCCAAACCTTCATCCAGTCCTCCTGTGAATTTTGCTCCTCCTGTCTTCAGAATCCATCTTAAGTTAAATCCCTACCACTCCCATTTCCTCACTGTTCCTAGCAACCAGGCTAACATCACCCAGAACATGATTTATAGCAATGGATTCCCAGCTGCTCTCTTGATGTCTTCTATCTTAACCACATACAGTGTCTTCACGTTAGTAGCCAATGATAATTTATTAGTTGTTTCATGGTTCTTCTTCGCACCCAAGCCTCCTTAGCTGGAGGGGTGTCCATGCCTGACCTTTGTTGAACCTCTGATGGTAGGATCAGAGCTAGTAGATTTCCAGCTTCTGATCCCTAGATGCCAACCTTAGCCTTCTCAGACATGGGGGTAAGGACTGATTATCTATTAAGATGGTATCCACCAAATTCCAGCAGTTGCCCACTGTGACAAAGAGCCTTAAGTGATTTCAGAGCTTGACTGGACCCCACACAGTGCTGTCAGCTCCTGGGTGCACCACCAGAGAATTGGAATTATTGGCAGGAGGTGTTTGCTTGCAGCCCTGGGATGACTGACAGGAGTGGAGTCCAGGAGGTGTCTGGTTGTGGGGGTTTGAGTAAGAAAGGCCCCCATAGGCTCATACATTTGAGTGATTAGTCATCAGGGAGTGGCAATACCTGAGAAAGTTTGGGAGGTGTGGCCCTGTTGGAGTAGATGTGACCTTGTTGGAACAAGTATGTCACCAGGGGTGGCCATTGAGGTTTCAAAAGCCCAAGCCAAGCCCAGTGTCTCTCTCTCCTCCTGCTTGTAGATCTGGATGTAGAACTCTCAGGTACTTCTCCAGCACCATGTCTGCTTGTGTGTTATGATGCTTGTTTGCCATTGTGCCCCTGAAACCATAAGCAAGCCCCAGTTATATATATATAACAGTTGCCTTGGTCATGGTGTCCCTTCATGGCGATAGTAACCTTAACTAAGACACAGGCTGAAGTGATGGGGAGTCCTGCATGCTACCCCAGCTCCCACACCTGGCACACAGAAGACTCCAGACTCATTCCTAGTACACTACACTTAGGACTTGTGGTCCTGGACTCACTGGTGAGGCAAGGAGTCAAGGCCTCCAACTCACTGTTACCACTCAGAAGTCTAACCCCCAAGCCCAATTGCCATCCTTTCCAGCCAATAGCTCTTGAGAAACTAACCCAGAAATATCTTTGGCTCATCTAGGTGTCCCTAAAGACACCCAGTTTCATCTCTTTTCTTGGTGGAGGCCCTGATATTCAGACTCCATGAAGCCCCTGTTTCCTCTACTCCCCCAACACTAACCCCTTCTCCTATAATCCAAGACAACAGGGAGTTCTGGCCAGGCAGTCTTCCCCAATTTTTGCTCCCAATGTTGTGAGTACATTTGAAACGAGGGACCCTTTGGCCCAAACTTCCAATCTTCACTATGCCCTTTCCAAACCCGTAGTTCCTCTGCCTGTCTCCCAGGGAAACTGGCCATGGGGAATGGGGAGGAAGATGGCCTGAGGAGGACTCTTTTCCTTGGCACTAGGAAGGGGTGTCACAGCTTATCTCACCTCTCTCCAAACTCCTGACACCCTCCCAGGCAGTGTTTGAGCCTTTTTGTTCCCTCTGTAGCCCTTGGTGAACGTTTGCTGATTATTTTGGCAACTTTGGTAATAAATAGCAGTTCCCACTGGGGAAAAAAAACAACTGATGATTTCCTGTGAAGCTTATAATAAAATGTAACATGGTTACAGCAGCTTCAAAATGGATGTGTCTGGGCCCGCTTATCCGTTTTGTTCGTGTCCTCTGCAGATGGATTCCATCCCACTCCAGCTTCTTCCAGGTTCATTATGTCCCTCCAGTAAGCCAAATTTGACTTTTGAAATGGCCTTCTCCCTCTGTCTGGCTATGTTCTATTGACTTCCACACAGATTTCTGCTAACTTCATTGACTTTGCCCTTGCCTTCTCCCTTTCGGTTCTTGGCCTGCTTGGTTTATTTCGTAGGGCTTACTGCCATATGAAATTACGTTGCTTATGTGTAGCCTACCTCTTATTGTTGTCTCTTCCCTAGAAATTATATAGCACTTAGGTTTAAGAGGGTTTTTTGTTGTTGTTTTGTTCTTATTGTATGCTTCTGAGCATGTCAAATACTTATGTGAAAAAAACTAAAAATGGATATGTGAACATCAGTGGAAATAAATCCCAAATGAAAAATACTGATCACTGGCTCAGGAAATAATTCTGAGAAAATGAACCCAATACCAAAGCAAACAGAAGAAGCACAAGATCAAAGTAAAATATAAGAAATGGAAATAAGGTACATGATACTATTAAAGCATACGATGATTCTATTCATACTGACAGTAATAAAAATAATAGCTTCCATAATTCCTTATACCTAAATGTGAGATTTTTCCTTTTAAATCAAGCTAGTCATAAGAAAATGTGTATGTGTGTGAGTTTATATGTGTGTGTGCCTTTGTGTGTGTGAGTCTGTGTGTCTGCCTGTGTGTATGAGTTTCTGTGTGTGCCTGTGTGTATGTCTGTGTGAGTGCGTGTGTGCATATGTGTGTGTAAGTCCATGCATGTCTGTGTGTGAGAGTCTGTGTGTATGTGAGTCTCTGTGTGTGTGAGTTTGTGTGTGTGTCAGTAGATCAGTGTGTATGTGACTGTGTGTGTGTGTGTGTGTGTGTATGTTTAATGTGCTCAGCAATTATCAACCACAACCTTGGAGAGGAGGCTTAGATTCGTGGTCAGTGACTATCCAGTGAGGCCGTTCTTCATGGAAACGGATGATTACACAGAAGCAGAAGATCTCATTTTCCTCTGACCTTATTTCTAACTCATTTCTAAGCCTCTTGCCATCCTTTCCCAATCTCCTTGTTTCTTGGAACAATCTACAAGGAAGCAGAAAGGAGAGGATGGGTCTAGGAAACGATGTGGTAACAGACACTGTCATTGGACACTTGTATTTAGAGCTGCCTGAGTCCAGGCCCGCCTCTGAGTCAATGACCTTATTCCTTCTCTTTATGATCTTAAAATAAGGTAGATTGGTTTTCTCAGACTTGCAAAAAATAATCATGAGCAATTCTTTTAAAGAAGAGTAACAATATTGATTAGATGCTTCCAATATTCTTTATGAACATTTGATAATTTTATGCTGAATAATAGTATTTAAAAATTGATGTTAAGTTTCTTTAGAGTTTATTTCTCCAAGTATAGTTGATATTTTATATAAAAATGAACTTACACAAAGTTCTGTACATAAAGCAAATAAAAAAATATGGTGGCTTTCTCATTTCTGCACAGACAGGACTTTTAAAGGGCTATAAGTCTAAATGACTTCCTGGAACAAAACTGGAAAACAGTTTACAAATCTCAAAACAAAGAAGTTAAAACACTTTGCCAAGGCATACAACTGCTTGGTTTACTCATTGGCTATGTTAATGGATACCAATGGCAACTTCTAACATAGGTTCTGAGCCCTTACTTTTGAGTTACTTCGTATTCCTGAACTTCTTGGAAACTTGTAAATTTTCAAAATAAATCCCAAAGTCTGGTGGCCAACCCTCTTGAAGATCTAACTCTCCCAACATTTCCAGTCTAATTCTACCATAGCTATCCACCAAGCTAATACATGTCCCTAAAAACATATTTCCTTGAATTGGCTTTTATTTATACACATTTTTCCTTTGGCCACAATGTTCTCCTAGATTTTGAATATTCTATGCATCTGGTGGTTTGGGCACATGGTCATTATTCAAAAGATGTCTGCATAAATGGAGTGAATTGATTTCTTGTCTTTCGTTGGCATTTATTTTCTAGGGAGATCTGAAATGTTAAAGAGCATCCTGTGAGATTATTAAACACGAAATATTGTACATCTAGCAAAACAAAGCCTTAAAGGAATTACATAGTCTTAAATATGGAAAAATATGGATACATTGGGACTGAGGAACTGCCATGACTTACATTTAACACCTATTCTTTGCTCTTCCTACTGCAGGATTCCTGAGTGCAATAAAAACTTCATTGCCTTGGACATAAAAAAATAGTAATTTCCCCATTTTGGTGTTTATCACCTCATCAACAGATAGGACACTATGTTAGTCTGCTGAAAACCTAACTCTAGACCTCTGCGCCAGTTTATAATTTGATTTAATATCAATGAACTTATTATTAAAGGAAAACTCAGACTTATAGAGTGTTTTTAGGTTGAACACATACTTGCCATAATTTAATTAACTATAAATTCATTATTTTTAATTAGCCTCAGTGAGATAAATGTATCATAGAAGGTCATATTTTGTCCTGATATTTCAATATTTTACATACTGAAAGAGAAAATTAGTATGTTCACTTTAATGATAATTTATAGAGGATGATTTCTTCTTAATGCATATTTTATTCTTCTTATGACTAGAAGAACACACTTCCTGAGAAGACCAAGATATTCCTTGGAATCAGTTTTATGTTCCAGTCTATCAAGGATTTCATGTACATGTGTACTCTTGGGTCCCATTTTCTCATGGAGCCTAGGGCTGTATATTTTTCAAAGTCTAACAAGAGATTCTGATGGAGGTTGAATTAAGGACCCTTAATATAACAGAAAAACTAGACTTTCTTCTACTATTCAGGGAAGAAGTAAAAGGACAGAGGGTTTTGCTTTCCCTTCAGAGCAGAATTCAGACTTCCACAGAGGTAATGACCAGTGGGAATGAAAAACAGAATTACAACATGGAAAACAGCCCATCATTCAAGTCACTACTAATGCTTCATAAAGAACAGAACCTGCTTGGAGAAATTGAGTCAGGAAACATTAGTTTTATGTGTTAGTTTTGTTGATGAATAGCCTGAACCGCACTGAGCTTCTCTGAGGGTTAAATTTCTAAAAAATATGGAACTAATGCTACTCACAGAGCTGTTAACATATGTGAATGCAATGACAGTCCTTTTCCAGACACCCAGAAAGAGTCCCTTACATTCTCTGAATCAGACATTGGATGCATTGAACTGATGTCTGGAAAAATTGTAATTATCAAAAAAGCATTCAGTATCTGCAGCAATGGTTCACTGGGTAAGAATGCTTACTTTGCATGCTTGGGGACCTGAGTTCAAATCACTAGCACCCATATGTAAAAGCCTGGCACTTAATCCCAGTACTGGGTGTTAACAACAGACAGATTTCAAGAGCTGACTGGCAGGCCAACCAGCCTAGCTGAAAGACCTAGCTTCAAGCTTAGCGAGAGACCATGTCTCAAGGCAACAAGACAGAGATCCTTAGAGAAAGATGCTCGATGCCCTACTCTAACATAAACACCTGCACATTCACATGCATGGACCACACAACATACAACACACAAGTATATACACTGAAATAAAAGCATGGACAGTTATACTTTATAGCTTTCAAAACCCTTTAACCAGAAATTCCACAGGTGACTCTGTGTCCTTTGCAATCTTTTCTCCAAGGTTTTCACTTCCTAGCTTCCAGCAATCACTCTTCCCCTCACTTGCTGTGGACGTTACATTTATCATTTACTTCCAGAAAACAATTATCATCATCATTTAAGGTTAATATGCTAAATTCAACTATTAAAACTTCTTTTCATAACGTGTAATTTTACTTTAAAGATACTATCTTACAAACAGAGGCTTAAAAACAACTTCAAGGTAAACTAAACAGCTAAAAATGGTACTCGACAAGGAGCTGCTTTTCCTTGCTTTTGTATTCATCCATATTTGGTTTTTTAGGGGCCTCTCAGATTTCCAGGGGTTACAAGATGTCTACCTCCCTTTTAGACACACAATGATTTTACAGCAACGTCCAAATACAGGAACTGAACTTTGTCAAATTTTATCCTTCTTTGGTATATTCCCTAAAATTCTTCAGATTTACCCTGACCTTTCTTGGTACCCATGGTTGAAATTCTTGCCCTATCTAAACAACTTACGTACAAGAAGAATAAAACTATCATAATTTTTTGGACAGTTGATACCCAAACTCATATCCCCTACAAATACCAAAAGGCAACAATAAACACACCTATAACGGTCTACCTCAATAAAACAGGTTTAGACTGGAAGAGACTGAGAGACTCAGTCATGCACAGCTTTGGCTCGTTTTTTGGGGACATTTCTAGAGACAATTAGATCAAAACCCTTGTGATTTAATCAGTGGATTATTCTATTATAAAGATTCAAAGTTTGAATACATTATCCTATCTAGGGGTGATAGAGAACTAAGAGAGCTTGGGGGGCATTGACTGAAGTGAATGGCAGGGATTGCTCCCTGGAAAAGGACACCATGTCTGCAGCCTCTTCCAACCTGTGCCTGTCCCTCACTGCCATGAAGCAGCAGCCTCTGCCACACTCTCGTTGCCAGGCTGTGCCACCTCAACTCGGGCTCTAGGATGACCTTGGACTGAAACCTTAAGTCCAAACAGATCCATTTTTTCTCTTCAGTTTTTTTTTCTACCTTGTATTTTGCACACAGTGAAAATCTAATACATTGAATGACCTTTAATGTCTCCTAGAAAGACAAATTTTATGGAACTGTGTTCCATAATGACAACAAATGAATTGCCAGAAAAAAAAAGTGATTCATGTTTTGATCATCTCTCAAATCTCAGGTCTGCTTCTGCCTCCTCCATAAGCATTTTCTTTTCTTTCCAAACTAGGTCAGGTTATTGTACTAAATCATTAGAGGAACCTTGCCGGTTGCAGAGCTTGCTGTCACAAATGCTCCTATCAGATTATTTGGTTCATGTGTGGTTTACTGACTACACCAAAAAAAATAAATAAATAAAAATAAAAATCAGTGGAAGTAGAAATCAGGGCTGTTGCCAATCTTACAGTATTCTTGCTTTAGGACACAATAGCTTTCACATAGGACGAAAGTTTCAATTATTAGTAAAAACTACCCAAAAGGTAATGAAGGGGTGAAAATAGAATTATTAACAAAGAATCATGTAAATTTCAAAAGTTGACACAGGCAGTGTCTAACTGACCATTATGAATTGTAATATGCTGCCAATGGAGAAAGAAATGGTATTTTTACCCCTTAGTCTTTTAAAAGCTTAAGAAGCAGACACTGGCTTTGCTAAACAGATATCTCAACTGCTGAAAGCTCTTCACTTGATCTTATTCCATAACTCTAATGTGTGTGTGTGTGTGTGTGTGTGTGTGTGTGTGTGTGTGTGTGTGTGTGTATTACATATGTATGTATGTGTTTGTGTAAGACAGTCTCATACACACAATCTTGTTTTAGTCTATAGGGAAAAAAAATCCCTAGAAATTGAGAGGTAAGTTAACTGAGCCAACAAGGAAACAAGCCTCTCTGACCGAGTCTAGAAATAGACAAGCAGAATGTAGATCCTTACAGGTGGAATGAGGTGGGGGATGGGTGAGGAAAGGGTTTCTGTGCTGTTGTATTTAGTAATTCTGCACGAGAGGAGGACTTCTCCGGTATACAGGGTAATCAATATGCTCAGTCGTAGAAAGAGTGGCTGGCCTCTGGCACTGCTCCTGCTCCTGCCTTAATCATCCTGCTTGTGTGAGATTGATAGTGGGGAAGCAGAGTAGGGAGGGGCAAATACAGGGCAGAGCTGCCCATCAGTCTTCTTGGACATGAGCTTCGGAAACACAGCAGCCCCGAGAGGCTGTGATGTGTGGGTTTACCTTCCTGGAATCTTCCTGACGCAAGAGAAATCCTTGAGCCTTAGTAGTTAAGAATGATAAAGATCTTCATTCCTGTGTTTCAAAGTTTGTTGCTCCCAATAAGAACACGTCTATACTTCTTTTGGTCTGTATGTATGTGTAGGTGAGCATGGCAAAAGTTTGGGGGTTTTCTCCATCTTATCCTTGGAGATTGCATTGTGTGTGCTCAACAGATATAGAATATTTAATATCATTGAAACACGATGCACCCCTGAAATGAATACAGCTCTGCATTTGAAACATGGCCAGCATTATTGCAACTAGACTATGAAATCCTTTTCCAAATTTCAGTGTATTTTGAAGTAATAATTTGGTTGTTGATCCTAACATAACCTCTAGTATAACTTGGCATATATTGAATATTTAACTTAGAACAATTAGTGACATAAACTTGAAGTTAATTCCAAGAGAGATATATGATTTTCTTTAACAAGCAAAAATTTTCATCAGTCTTTGCCAAAACCTGATCTTGTCTTAGTTCTTCAAACGGTTTGGAGTTTGCTGGCTGTTCAGCTGTATTATATAATTTAGAGTATTTTATTTTTATTCACAGTGAACTTTTGATTATCATCCACTTGGTGAAGAGTATTAGAGGAAAGGGGCTTTCAAAACTGATAAGAAAATGTTGATGGGCACACATCTGTAAATTGTTCAGCTTCTCATTGATGGTTACAAGTTTTAATAAGTACTAAAGTTGTCTTAAGATTTTTCTTGTTGACTTGACCATTTCAGAAATGTTTTATCTAGGCATTAGGATAGAGTCTCTGTCTTCACTTTTCCTGGTGGAACACATTTCTAGTGCCCACCATTTCTACTCATGCTTGCTTTTAGTTGCATGAAAATAGCAGTTGAAGTCAGTGCAAATAGATTCAGAACATTTTAGCCATAAAGCAGCATATTATTGAGACTGAGACTGTTGCAATATTGATTAAAATGAATGGGTTATAGCACAACCTCTGATTTCTTCATTTTTATGGTAAACTAGAAACATGAGATAGACTATTATTATATAATAAGAGAAAACACTTAAAAATTATACCATAAGTTCCAGGGAGTTAAAATTGAGTTTAGTTTGAAACATTTATTGGGTGCTTTATTCTCCCTAAATTTGCTTATGACAAATGACACAGCATGCTTGATTAAAAATTAAACATCCTGTCAAGTGTTCCTCATGGAGGTTGTGAAAATTATAATGCTGATGTGAACAGTGGCTTCATCTCTGCTTTGATCAAATTTCAAGGCAGAGTGTTTCCAGATTAGATGTCAGCCCTTTCAAGAAAGTCATCGAGTTGAAAATAATTTGACCATCCTTTGCTTCCTCCATGCCCTGACAAAGTTACAGTCAGAGCAAAGGATGGAAGGACTATGTTAAACCCCCCAACTTCATTGTCTTCTGGAAATTTCTTCATTTTTATTGGAGAAAGATTTAGTTCAATTGCACTTGTGATGTAGAGAAATTATGTGAACTCACTGATGTTTGGCCTACATAAAGTTTCTTAAGAGTACATTCTGTAAAATAGGGCATATAAATAACAAATTAGGAATAAATTTCAAAAAATTTAACAACAGTGCCAAGGATAGGCTTTTGGGGGGAAAGGAATTTCTCCAATAAAGATAATTTAGATTTCGTCTTAAGCAGTTAATTAATTTATGTAAATTTAATCCCTCCTCGTTCATGCACCGCCCTGTCAATTCTACTTAAGCACCTAAACTAATATGCATGTATGCACATACACATTATGTTATAGGAAACGCAGCTTAGAATTCTCATTAACAGACAACAATCCATTGTTTATCTGTTTGTTTCTAGTAAAGAGTTTATGGTAAATGTTCAAGTTTGTGAATTAAAATTTCATCACATTTATTTACAGAGCTGATTTTTCTCATAATAAAGTCATGGTATCATTTATGGAAAAATAAAATTTTATTTATATAAGAAATATACTTTAGGTCTCAAAAGTTTAATGTTAATATCACAAATATTGTAAGATGTTAAGAAAGAAGTGTATTCCAGATTCTTAGAATATGACTCAAGATGTCAGGGTAGGATACACAGAGTTTGACAAAGTTTTCATATTAAAGATGAGGAGACCACACATCTTTATAGGAATCTCTGGTTTCTCCTCACATCAATTGCATAGTTTCTAGAGGTTTTAAAAACTTAACAATTGTAATTATTTCAGCTTATTGTCTTTATGACAACATGTATTATGGAAATTTTAAATGACTGTGAATATTAAATTTCTAATCTTTTAGGGATGGTGGCATAGCTACAAGGCATGTGTAAACTGATTGGCACCACCTCTGTTCCAGGTCACACGCCTTCCCCACTGAGCAAGAGACAGATGGACAAAAGGCACCTTCAATGTCAGACCAAAAAATATGTTGTTATTGCCAGGTATGAAGAAACTTAACCATTTATTTTAATCACAGGGAAAAAAACTCACACTTAGAAAACAAATTAAATGCTTATTAGTAGATTTCAGCTTTAGAAATATTTCCCTGACTAAGTCATTAGCAATATATGTGTAATTCTAATGTTTCATCATGTTCTTCTTTGTTATGGATTTTCCTCTGATATGTAAACGCATTTGCTTTCCTATAGACTGTAGTGGATATCTCCTTTTGTCTGAATCTGTACTTGTCTGAAATGCAGTTAACATTTAGAAAGTTTAGTATTTTCTATTTGTAAAACTTACTTCATTATACTATTTACATACATATAGTTCCTAAGGACTTAAGAAGCTAAATCTGCTGCATACCAGGTCAACAGCAGCTACTTCTTTTGACATAACTTTTATTATATGTTAATTTAAGTGAATTGATCGCATGGATTAATATTTATGAATCTTCCTCTAATAACAGGAAATTCAAGAACTTCCCAGAGTACAGAGGCTTTCTGTAAGACAGCTAACAGACGCATGAAAAATGTATCTTTCTGAAATGACTCTTTTGTTGACATCAATCTAATCCAGTCCAATCCTCTCCACAATCAATCAAGATCCACATGTATTGCTGAAATACATTCTTCCCAAGTACATTTACTTTTAAGTGAGGTATGAAGTGTCTAACGGTTTATCAGAAAAGATGTTGAGATATATGTGTATTTGAGTCAACTTGTACCACTCAAATCTTGCTGTAACATTTGTTGATAGTTGAGGTAGAAGTGATCTATTTTTCTTTATTTGTTTCACAAAGTGAAATGTTATATAATGTTAATATCAATAACTATTAGATCTAATTTCCCATGTAAACTGCATGTATTCTAGACACAAAGGAATGCGCATGTCTTAATGGGAACACTCTCAGCATTAAGAGTTGATCTCTGCTCTCAAGAAGATTCAAAAGTACAACTTTATATTTTATTCTTTTTAAATAAAACCGGGTAGCTCACCTTTTTCTTTTCAGTTTTGTAGATCATGAATCTTGATCCAGTATAACACAGCTCTTAAGTATGAAAACTGCAGTAGAAACTTTCTATTTTAATATGAACTTTTAAATACATCCTATTTCATCTGGTGAATACAGAATAAGATGGGTTCATAAAAACAAAACACACACAGTTTTAATGAAGGCTAAAGAAGGTTTTATGATACTTATTTTAATCCACCCCACTCTGTAGCAAATGTAAAATCCTAGTTACTTTTCATAAAATTTGAACTTATTTGAACAGTGAACTAAAGAAAATGAGACAGCTGGGATTTTAAAGAATAGACCCAATATCATTGTTATTTCTTTTGAAAATACATAATGAAGTACTTATTCTTAGATTCCCTCATATAGCCATTTTCCCACCCAAGAAATGCTTAATGCTATATTGTTATGGCATCACATACTGAACAGTGAAAATTGGTGCAATTTAGTTCATGTAGGAAACGATTACGACCCTTGGCTTAAGAAAAATTTAAAAGTGACAATTCTATCGTGACTATTAAAACAATCAATTGTTTTATAGTCTCACATATCAGAGTTAAATGATAGTTAATAACATGCTTTCAATAGAAAAAAAGACACAAAGCACAGTACTGTCCTATCTTTTCACGTTAGCAGGGAATAATTTTCCAGTTCCTTTCAGTCTCCACCCACCAAAAAATAATAAGATCCAAAACAAGGTTTAAAATCAACAATATTATTACAATATAACTGAATTTCAGTGAATATATGTGTACATTATATATTACACACACACACACACATATATATATATATATATATATATATATATGTATATATATAACAGTGACAGATTCCTATATGCTGAGTAAATCTCAAACATGAAAAATGTATGGCAATTGAGATTTACTGATATGTGTGGAAGTCACATTTCTATATTTATTGTTTATTTCTTTTATATAAATAGTTATTCTAGGACTAGAATGGAATAAATCAGGAAAGGTTGCTAGGCAGAGAATAATGACTAAGGGCTAAAGCCAAAATTAACAAGAGGCAAAACCTAGTCCCATCACCATTTTCCCATTTCTCCCCTCTCCTCCATCCTTACCCCAGTCCTTTCTTTGTACATTCTGGACACAAAGTCTTTGAACATGCTCTGTTCTCTTCCAAGAAACGTCTCATTACCGATTTTTTTTTGTCCTACAAATAGCTACTTTTTCACTTTGCGCTCAAAACAGCCATTCCTAATTTTTCTGACTGATGAGCTTTTGACAATAGACCCCCATACACTCTTTAAAGGACCCTAGGCCTCTCTGGGAATTTACTAAGCACCTAGTTTTCCTTGAGTCTTCAATTGTGTGATAGCTTACTATCCCTGCATTGTGTCTAGTCAGCGTATGCCACTTTAGTTGCAGGCAGGATGACTGATTGGTCAGTGTTTTCACAGTGTCCAAGGAAAGGCCAGGTGAAATATGCCTACACTAGATGTTACATACATTTTCTCATTTCCAGTCTGTGGATAGTTTATGGCACCAGCTGCCCCTATCCTGGGTCCCTGCTTCTAGTATCATTTTGTTTGTAATCTAAAACAAAATTATTCAAAAGGCTGAATGTTGTGTTTTGGTGTTTGTTTTAGAGAGAAAAAAAATTGTCATTCTTAATGATTAAAAATCCCAATAGACTACATCTTAGTGTTTTAAAAAGTAAAATTATTATTAAATGCTTGACTTAGAAAAAACAACATTGCAAATAATAAAAATGAACTTGAAAACACAAATCCTGTTTCAATAATGAAAAAAGCAATGCTTTCTCAGCAGCTGATGCCCCCTATACACTTCCTGTGATGATGATTCACACTGTCTCCAGGGTAAACTTATCTTAAACTTATTGTATACTATTCTACATGTTATTAATATAGTTGCCTTTTCACAGATGTATCTCACTTGCATGTGACTTGATTTTAATATTTAAATCAATATAAATGATTTAGTTTCTCACACATTGTTAGCATCTTGATTTTTTTTTATTTAGCATTATATTTGTAGGTTCACCTATAATTTTTCTTGTTATTTCTTCATTAAAACTAGTCATTCTCACTTTTCAGCTTCACACAATATTGTACAGATTATCTTAGTTTACATTCTCAAAATGATGTCTCCAAAGTAAGAAGGCTGCTCTTTGGGGGTATATATCTTTTCATTTCCATGTGTAGATAGATGATCATGGGTTCTAAGTCATTTTGCAGTAATGCTTGTTTTAGACTTCTTTCCAGACTTCCACTATGCCAACTGGGGACTCAGTATGAACTGTAATTGGTCCCAATGAGGGTTCCTTTGCTCTTGAACTCAGCACCTGAACTTGTTCTCCCCTATCAATTTTTGTTGAGTCAGTCATTTCTCTCAGACTATATACACATGGGAGCAATCCCATGAGATACCCAGATTTTAGATGTGTGTCTGGAGGGAACCCTAAGTTTGTGCCTCTGCAAGACATTTATTTTGGCATCAAATCAATCACCAACAAAAAGGAAACCCTTAGGATGAAAAGAAAACTGATTGTAATTCCTCCTTAAAACATTCAACACGCGTTTTCAGTGAGCTTCAAAGAAAGCAGATGAGTGGGATCATTTTTATAACAATGCCTCTGTTCACACTGATGCTAAAATCTGTCCCTACCCTGTCAGCAACATTGACTGAGTCATTTCTCTTATTGAAGTTTTCTGAATGATTACAGGAGCAATGTTAAATAAGTCTTCTGAAGTCTGATCCCTTCATAATAGAGACTATTCTGGCTGACAGGTCATAGAATACACGTTACCTGTTGTGCATAAAATCTTACCAGAAGTAGAAATATTTTCATCTTAACGTTTTGTGATTCACTTCTAAATAATTATAGGGTTGAGTACTAGTAAAGTAACTTCAAATAAAAGTATACCTGAAGCTGGAGAGATGGCGCCACAGTTAAGAGCATTTGCTTCTCTTGCAGAGGACCTGAATTCAGTTCTCAGCACTCCCAAGGTGGCTCACAACCATCTGGAATTCCATTTTTTCAGGGGATTTAGTACCCTCCCCTTCTCTCTATGTTGCTACACATATGTGGTGCACTTCCATGGATGCAGCCAAAACACTATTATGTGCATAAAAATTAAAGTATACCATAGTTGCAATAAGTGTTCATATGTATACACACACCTTTTTTTGTAGGATGACTTTGGCAAGAAACCTGCCAAAAAACAGGCAAACTGTTGTAGATTTTTTTCTCTTGAAGTATTCAAACTAATCTATTTTTTAAATGAAGAATGCATTTATTGATAATCACATTGAAGTAGAGTTTTCAACCTTGGAATCTAGATAAAGTTAGATTTCTTTGTTTACATTACTTTCTTTGGCTTTTCCTCGGAACTCACCATCATCATGTCCTCATGGTGTGCATGCAAAGAAGAAATGTTTTGAGTACAAACTTAGGCATGCAGTTGGTCTTTGTTTTTAAGAGTAAGGAATACTAGTGTGCCAGGCTCAATGATAAGTCTAAAATGGTGCCCTGTGATCCTACTTGCTCTCTTGAATTTTTGACACTTAATGAGAAAATACTCCCTAGACAACTGGCTGTTCTAAAGAGGATGAGAGACATAAAAAGCAAAGCTGGTCCTTCTGACTGACAGATGTTCAGTAATAAACACAGCTGCTCTAACCCCTGCAGCCTACTCTAACTTGCCTCAGGTAAGCTCAGCTTAGATCAAATGAACTTAGTGACTTTTTGGAGATGATGAGAGTTACTACATGCTACTGAGATACTGTGGTCATGTATATGCACCATTATTCTGCAAATATCTTACCTATCCAGGGAGATTGGTACTTTGGAAAATGCATAAACATATGACTTACATAGTAAAGATCAGTTCCAATTTGTTTTCGTTGTTTTTCTTCCTGCTTTCCATGCCTATTCTGGAAAAAAAAAATCAATGACCAGATTTTTCCCTAGTAACATACCTTCGAGGAAGTTACTTTGTGCTCCCTTAAACATGAATTAAGTACTAAAGTACCTACCAATTGATTGCATTTTATTTACATTGGGCACGAAAATGACAAAAGTCTTTCTTTTCCTCCTCTGCTCCTATTGAGTAGGAAATAACCACTCAGACTATGTTCAGTTTCACTTCAGCTGTGGACTGAGACATCTTCTTCCTTATTTCTCTAATTCTGGTCAATGACCCAAATGTTTCAGTGTGTTTGTCAATTGCTTATTACTGTATTAAAGCACCCAAAGGCAGATTACTTGATAAAGAAAAGGTAAGCTGGGTTGGTAGCTCAGTCTTATTCAGTCTTATTATTCTAAGTATTCACCTTAGAAGCAGAAGGAACTGCATGTTATCCTTAGAGCCCACAGGAAAAGAAGTCGAGATGCATTGGCACATGCTGTAATCCCAATGCTAGAAAGAGAGAGAGCTGGTTCTTTGAGGGTCCATGGCCAGCCAGCCAAGCCTACTTAGTGAGTTCTTCACTAGTTGGAAAAATCCTGACTCAAACCCAAAAGCTAGTGGCCATGCCTGAGGAACCACACCCTAGTACACCCTGGGTTGTCTTCAGCCTTCACATCCACATTCACACATGTCCACACACACCTATATGTGTGACTGAGCACATATCGTGTGTATGTGTACAGAGAAAGAGAAGGGGGGGGGAGAGAAGCTTTATTTAAAGAACTGAAAGTCTATACAATTAAATGCTAACTTTAGCAGGGACCTCATGATGGATGGTGGGAAAGTGCTACAGGAAGAGATCAAATCCCTTATCCAGGATCCCAGAAAACAAATCATGCACTAGGCTTGTTTTGCATCTTTCTTGCAAGAGCTCAGGGGTCCTAAGAGGGATACCTTAACTTTTTCTAAGGGCTGTTTTTCCAGTGACTAAACGTCTTGGAAATAGATCTTGCTCTTTTTTTTCTTTTTCTTTCTTTCTTTCTTTCTTTCTTTCTTTCTTTCTTTCTTTCTTTCTTTCTTTCTTTCTTTCTTTCTTCCGTCCTTCCTTCCTTCCTTCCTTCCTTCCTTCCTTTCTTTCTCTCTCTCTTCATTCATTTATTTATATTTAGCTGTTTATTTATTTACTTATTTATTTATTTATATTTTTGTATATATGTGTATATTAGAAAACCTTGTGTGTGTGTGTGTGTGTGTGTGTGTGTGTGTGTGTGTGTGTGTATGTGTGTGTATGTGCGTGTGCTGAAGACAACAGCCTACACGGGACAGGAGCTTCTGGAGGTTATTTTGTCTCAGTCACCCACTTCATTGCAGGAGTTCCGAGTCGATAATATGTGTGACTGCATGTGGCTTGATGTGGGTTCCGGGGATTCGGGGCTTCATGCTTGAACAATGATTTTTTTTTTTCACTGAGCCATCTCCCCAAACCAAGGACTGCGTCTTACAGTCTTACACTTCTCACCACCTCTCATATCACTTCATTAGCACTGACCTTCTAACACACAAATCATGGAGGAAAGTATTCACACCGTCATATCTAAACCAAAGCTCCTGGGGCAAACTTTCATCTGAGGTTTCTTTCTTGTGTGTATTAATATATAATTCTTCTGGTAAAATAGTACTAAAATTGCTAATTTTTTTCATAGAAAAAAATCCCTTGTTCGGCACTCCCCCTTCCCCTCAGCCCACGCCCTAATTCCCATCTCCTCCAGGGCAAAAGACTCCCCTAGGGATTGAGTTCAACCTGGTAGATTCAGTCCAGGCAGGTCCAGTCCCCTCCTCCCCTCCTCCCAGGCTAAGCCAAGTGTCCCTGTATAAGTCCCAGGTTCCAAACAGCCAGCACATGCACTGAGGACAGGACCCAGTCCCACTGCCTGGATGCCTCCCAAAAAGTTCAAGCTCATCAGCTGTCTCACTTATCCAGAGGGCCTGATCCAGTCGGGGGCTCCTCAGCTATAGGTTCATAGTTCATGTGCTTCCACTAGTTTGGCTATTTTGTCCCTGTGCTTTATCCAACCTTGGTCTCAACAATTCTCACTCATACAAACCCTCCTCTTTCTCACCAATTGGACTCCTGGCAACGGAATGTAGTTCACGGCATCTTTAAATCAGTAGTCATTTGGAACTTGTTGTGCGATCTCTCAGTGTTTCAAACAGGAAGCCAGTGATTGCACTTGTAGAGTGTGTCACGTGTGTCAGCACGTGAGTGCCATGAAGCTTCACTGCCACTCCAGCTGTGAGAACCATCCGCTTATCACCCCAGGCGGAGGATTTGGAAATACTGCTTCTTGGTACGTTTGAACTTTCGTAGTTGTCGTATTTCTTAATGTGGGGTATTTTCTCAACTTTTGTAAGTAACCCAATTCTGTGGTTAAAAAGTAGAGTTTGTATAAATCCAACAATTAGCATTAGATTTAAAGAAACTCAGAAGGGATGGTTAAAATGTTACTATAAAATTACTATACAATTCTTAAATGTTACTATACAATTGCCACTATACAAATATTACTATATAAATATTACTATACAAATGTTACTAGACAACTCTTAAATTCTCACTTTCTTTTTATATTCCTTCTTTCAAAAATTAGATCATTTAACACCTATGACAACATTCGCTCACTAAATAAAAAAGAACACCTTTTTTATTTATGGTAATTTATTTATCATGGTAAATTACTACTTCTCAAAATCCAGAGTAACAGTTTTTATTAGTGCTACAGTATTACAATGTCTGGATTCATGCTAGACCCCTAAGAGGTTTAGTTTGGTAGCTCCTGGACAGTGGCAGCCATGCCCAAACCTCTTGAAGCAGTTCACACTACAGAGCTTGGGGAGTGGAATGGGGGAAGACAGGCAGACTTGGGGATTTTGTTTGGAAAACTACTCACTGGTTTCTACCTTTACTGATTTCCTCACATCATTATTGTTTTCTAGAGATGCCTACACAAATAAAACTCCTGGATCTGCTCTGAGAATTGAAAAACAGGCAAGACTGAAATACAGATCCAGTCAATCCAAAATCTAGTGTCTGAGTCATCCTGTGTGGTGCTTCTTTCTTCGTTTGTCCCCTGAACCCCTTCCCTTTTGTCTTGTCCCCTATATTCCCTTTTTTTTTTTAAAGAAATTTTTTTATTCATTTTACATACCAACCACAGATTTCCTTCTCTTCTCTCCTCCTGCCCTCCAGCCTCCCCCTGCCCTCCATTCCCACCTCCTACAAGGTAAGTCCTCCCATGGGGAGTCAGCTGAGCCTGGTACATTCAGTTGCGACCGGTCCAAAAGATGACTTAGTGGTTTAGAGCACTGGCTGCTCTTCCAGAGGTCCTGAGATCTGTTCTCAGCAAAGACATGGTGGCTCACAACCATCTCTAGTGGGATCTGTACATGCAGATAGAGCACTCATCTACATAAAATATTCCCTTGTTGATTTGCACATTTTTATTTTGCATGGTGGAATGTCAATGAAATGGCCTTGGCCTACAAAATGGCATAGCTATTAAACAGAGGCCCTGTATGTCAGAAATACCTGTCTATTGACTTCAGTAGCCTTGCTGAAGTGCTTACACTTCCCCGCCCCATAGGTTCTTACTGTTCCAATCTTTCCATGCAGAGACCGAATCTCCAAAGCTAGAACCGATTTCTTCTTCCGTTTGGCCCCAAATCAGCACGCAATGAGAATGTCAAGGCAAGAGACTATTTTAGTAAGTTCACAGTCTTAAGTGCTGATCCATTCCCATATTGATTACTTTCACAACTATTTATGAAGCAATTGCCATTTTATGGGGACTATCCTAAGTGCTGAAGATACAGAAAGGTTAAACAAATGTCCCACTCACTTGGGGACATGATGGTGGGACGAAACAGACAATAAACAGACAAATATTTTTTTTAAAAAAAAATGTCAAGTAATGGAATGTTCCAGAAAGGAAATAGAACAGTAAGTGAATACCAATGATCAAAAGCTGCTCTCTTCTGTGTAAGGGTGACACTGGAGCAGACCCCAGAATAATAATACATAGTAAGGGGACAGCAACAAGACTACTTGCAGGAGAGTCACCCAGATATAAGAAGCTACTGAGTAGACAGCATCCATGGCCTGTATTTGTAGTATGATGAAGATAAGATGGTTATCATGCAGGAAGAATGAGAAAGACTAGTCAGGCCCAGGAAGAGAGAAGCAATCAGAACTCAGATCACACAGGATCATGGCAGGAAAGGATTAAGACCCTTCATTTTCTCTGAGGTGTGGTAGAGGACATCCAAAGTTTGAACAGTGGTGCAAAGCTTACTCTGGACCCATGAAACACACAGACTACACCAGGAGTACAAAGACAGTGATAAACAGGGTGTCTACTGCTTGTCAGGTTCTCACCACATTCAGAGTACTGAACTCTTCCAGAAATAGATTTTTTCCATGGGTATGAGGCTTGTTTGTATTTATTCTCTGCTCTGATTCTCAGACCTTGTTTTCTGTTCCACAGTTTAGATAGAAAGAGATAAAAATATTTTCCTTGCAGTTGGCTCACACATGAGCCAGTTCTCAGAGAAATGGGAACACGAGAGATGTGAAATGTTTCCATGGATTAATTTAGAAGAGCACTTTTCGGGATCGGCAGTGTTAAATAGAACCAGGCATTTCTTGGTTTTGTGAGACGAGTCTGTCTGCTTTAGGGCATTTAAAAGCATGTCTGGGCTCTACAAACAGGATGCCAGGCAGACCCTGAAAACTGGTACACTTGTGATGAAATTAGTTGTCTTGGGTCTTTCCAAATATCTGTTGAGGAGCAAAATCTCCCCAGAGAAAAGTCATTTATGTAGATACTCTGCAAAAACAAGCAAACAAACAAAACAAAACAACACAAACAAACAAACAAAAAACAGCTTTAATACAAGCGTGTTAACCAAAACGTTAGCTGATCTCTTACATTAATGACTTTAAATGCAAAGTAAAACCCTTTTCTCCTAGG